ATTGACATTATCGTAAATTAGTATATAAAATTATCGTAAATGGAGGTGGCTATAGAATAACTTATTTTGTAGCTGACTACTGAATATACTCTCCCTATATATATATATATATATATATATATATATATATATATATATATATATATATATATATATACACTAACTAGGTAGCGTGCCCGTGCATTGCTACGGGACAACTAAATCTTTTGTACTAAAAACACACGGATCGCACGATAAGATAATAATATTGTTAAATTAAATACCGACGTCAAAGTGACATTTAATTCAAAAAGCAAAGTTCATGAAATTAACACAGTCACGGAGAGCGCGACAACATAGGCTCATAAACTCTACTGTATAGACTTTTTCATGATATGGCTAAGACAATATTTTATATCGGCAGAAAGAATTCTACGATATCCATTTCTTTCATGCGCCAATAAATCCATGAATAAGTTCCACTGCATCTCCATATAATCATATACACACAAGTTCGAGTATATATGTAAATAGGTTCGTGCCCGTGCGTTGCTACGGGATAGCTAAACTTTTGTACTAAAAACACACAGATCGCACGATAAGATAACAATACTGTAAAAGTATATGACCGACGTTAAAGTGACATTTAATCCAAAAAGCTAAGTTCGTGAAATTTACACAGTCACAGAGAGCATGACGTCGTAGGCTCATAAACTCTACTGTATAGATCTTTTCGTGATGCGGCTAAGATCATTTTTTATACCGACAGAAAGAGATTTCCGATATCAATTTCTTTCGTGCGCCAACAAATCCACGAATAAATTCCACCACATCACATCTTCATACCATCCTATACACGGCGCTGGCAAGCGAATTAGCCACAACTTATGTAATTAGTTTTATAATTAGCTCATGTTTAGTCCTCCTAATTGATGTCTAAAAATTCAATGTGACAGGGACTAAAGTTTAGTCCTGGGATCCAAACACCCCCTAACTCTTGACTCTTGCTGGCTGCTCACTTGCACCACCATGCCTATGTGTCTGCACGTATATACTCTAATGCCAGAACGTCTAAGATGGTCTTTAAGGTTGCCATTTGTGTATGTTGTAGGATTGGGATGCTTTGCACTGATCCATGAGGGTGTCCATGAGAGTCGAAATTTTTAATGCCATTATGATGTCTAAGCTTACCAATCAGACAGAGACAAACTTAATTGTTAAAATATTTTCAACACTCCTTTCATATACTCCATCTGTCCCAAAATAGAATTCATTCTCGCTTGCCGAGAAGTCAACTTTTTTTTAACTTCGACCAATTATAATACAGGTATTTTTTACACGCATGTGGCCTCAGGAGTTGACCAATTGATTGTTAAATGTTGCACGTATATTTTACAAACATAATCAAAGTTGAGAAAGTTTGACCTACACATATCCCATAACGACTTATATTTTGGGGCAGAGGAAGTATATGCTAATGGGAGTAATCAACTGGAAGTCGTGATGAACACAACAATACTTTCATATTATATGCTAATTGGAGCACAAAGAAACGCAGGGGAATGGACCTATATACGAATAGTGTGAATATTCATTTAGAAAATTACAGAAGGTTCACCAGTCTCACCATATATAACATGTACATATTTTATTTGGCACTACTGATGTTCTCAAGGATTAGCCACGTTTTAATTTCAGGTCTGCATGCTGGAAACACTAAAATTAAGGGCCAACCTCATTGAGTCGTCTTGCTTGATGTTTGCCAATTGTTTCCTTCCATGCATGATTATTGTTTCCTTCCATGTATGTGGCCTCATGTGATCGATTTGTTTGCTTCAAAGCAGTCAGGGATCACAGGGATGTCAGTTTCTTTTTCTATCGCATGGCCGGAAGGGAGGAGTCTTGCTTGATCTTTGCGAATTGTTTCTTTCCATGCATGATTATTGTTTCCTTCCATGCATGTGGCCTCAGGTGATCGATTTGTTTTCTTGAAAGTAGGCGGGGATCGCAGGGATGGCAGTTTCTTTTTCTATCGCGTGGGGTATCGCATGGCCGGAAGGGAGGAGCGACCCCAAAAAAAAGTCGCACAAAAAAATAGTCTTACTTTTAGTCTTTTTAGTTGTAGGATATATATATATATATATATATATATATATATATATATATATATATATATATCGGGAGAGTATATGCCAGCTACAAAAAGTTATTCTGTAGCCACATCCATTTACGATAATTTTATATACTAATTTATGATAAAGTGAATACATATTTACGATAGTTGTGTTACTATAACACATGAGGATATTTACCATAACGTTATAATAAATCACATAGTAAGGAGTTACTATAATCTCGTGAATTAGCATAGTAATTATCGTAACTCAAAGTGGCCACAGAATAAGTTATTTTATAGCCAGTTGCAGAACAGTAGTTTTATATATATATATATATATATATATATATATATATATATATATATATATATATTGCTCATTTAATACACCTTCAGCTAGCTTAGTCTCCTTGTGAAGGACCGAAACGATGACCAAAGGGGGCTGAATGGGAGCCTCAAATTTCTTTCAAAAACTTAGGCCGCTCTCCCAAAATCAAACCCCAAATCCAAGCACACGAGGGAAGAGAGATCCACGAGCCAACTAGGTGGCTGGATGTCTATGACGATGACCAAAAGACATAGCAGGACCCTTAAGAAACGACCAAGCAAAACCCCCGATGAAACACCTCAAAGCCGAGAAGACTGCACAGGACCGGACTGTCTACAAGCAGAGCGCGGACTTTCCGCAGAAGGAGGGCCGGACTGTCCGCAATTTTCACCGGACTATCCACCGGCTAACCTCTAAAAAACAGAAGATGAGAAACAGGTTCTGCCCAAAATTGACGCCTCCTGGTGCGCTTCTTGCTTCCTCTTGTTTCTTTTTTTTTAGATTTTTTTTTGTGCTACCGCGAGTGTTTCCTTTTGTTGTATAATAAATATTACCATACATACATTGTAGGCATAATAATAATACATTCTACCAGTATGTTGAAACTTTTGAAACAAAAATAAAGCTGACCAGCTGCCGTGTTCCCAATTTCGTATTTCCGCTTACTTTGAATTTTTTATCACGGACTTTTTTTCCCCCGCAATAAAAAGGATGGCCAAGCCCGTCAAAGCAGTCCAGTCAGGAGGCCCGGCCCAGACCAGCGGCAGTTCCTTCACAAATCCAGTGAATCCCGGTCACAGCACTGCAGTAATATAATAATTCCACCCGTCTCTTTCTTTGCTCGTCTCTTTCTTTTCTTGTCTTTTTCCTTCATCATTTATCTATGGCTGCTACTGCTACCGACACGTTGAAGCGGCGAGCACTGGCCAGTGAGGAAACAAAATGCTACAGCAATGTAGGAGTACGGATGTACTGCACCATACTAGTACTAATTATAAAAGCATTGTAAACGGTACGAAATGCGTGCTTAACAAATCACTCGTGGTCTCATTCTTCGTAATAATATCTCGTTAGGGCCTCTCTGGATCCTATACCCTAAACTTTACCATACTTAAGCTCAGTTTCGAGGTCCAAGGGCGTCCCCAGCAAGGCTCTTTGCGCTAGCTACTTGATGATGTGCAGGCGATAGAGTGGAAAATTTCAATCCGACTCCACGGTCCACTCGCATATGTTCTTTTCATTTTTATTTTTTTTATTCCGACTCGGTGGACGATTTAGATTTCCTTGTTGAGGACGTCCTAAAGTTGTGAGGTGGACTAAAGTTTAGAGCTAACTTTAGACCATCTGTCTAGAGACTTTAGCTTTGGTCCAAACATGCCCTTCGACGTTTCGGTTTTTACTACACAAACTATATCTGTCCAATAAAAAGGAAAATAGAGAGCGAGGGCCAAAAAAATTAGGAAATTCCAAAAAAAAAGGGTTTCATGAAAGTTTGCATGTCTTCTTGAGTCAGTGCAGGCGTGGGAGCAAAAATAAATATTCGAAACCTCCCAAAGTAATAACTAACCAAAGTTGTGTTATTTTTGAATCTCGATCCCTTCTATTCCTGTGTGCAAATTGATGTAGGAGTTTTTTTTCTTCTTTCCGAAAGGGAAGGAAAGGAAAGAAAACAAAAAGATTCACTGCTCTGAAAAGGTTTGCGAGGGCAGCGTGGCAGCATATTCGTCTTGTTGGCGCACATTTGCTCTCTTTTGTTGGGGTTTGGTTTGGTACGAGCTTGAATAATTTTGTGCATGCGCCTCGAGAGGAGCAATGGTAGTAGGAGCACTACTATGTACTACTCCGTTTCCTTTTGTGTACATAAAAATCATGTAAAAAAGAGCCATTTCCTTTTGTGTACATAAAAATCATGTAAAAAAGAACAGGTGACATCAGAGAGGGATTGTCGAGTCAGTGAGTGGGGCTTAGCCGGATTTTACTGCTGTTTGCACCGCCGAACCGGACCATTTGATCATCCTGCGTTTCTGCTGTGCTGAGACAAACGGCCAATGGACCGAACGGAGATCAATGGCATCTGCTATGCTCGGCCCAGCCAAGCCCATCCACACACAGATATCCATCCATTCAAAGATCAAATCCATTCTCAACTCTTAGTCTTAATAACATGACCCAACGATTCCAGTCATCATTAACCTAAAACAGGAGCAGTACATCCAGAACAATTACCACTGGTACCATACCAGGTTTACAACCAGAGTCTTCAATCCCTCAGACACATACAAAGACACCATACAAAACAAGAACAATTACCACTAGTACCATACCAGGTTTACAACCAGAGTCTTCAATCCCTCAGACACATACAAAGACAACCATACAAAACCGTCTCCACCCACCGACACGCGCATCCATTTCCATCCATCCATCCATTCCGAGCAACCAACCACCGGACTTAGCCCACATACACAAACAATCCACGGAGGAAAAAACAAAACATAGCCTAGCAGCAGAGATATCAAGAGTCTGGCAAACTGCCCCAATCACCACAGGGGGGAACCGGTTCCATCGCCACATTCATCAGCCGCTGATAGCAGGCGACGCCGACCTTGACCGCGACCCTGGAGGCGACATGGATGCTGGTCGGGGCGACCTGCGGCGACCACGCCGAGGCTCCTCGTCCTCCTCGCCTGCTGGGGACCTCTTCCTCCTGTTATGAACATACACCAAGCACTGTTACTACCATTCAACAAAAACACCCATCTGAAGCAGCTACTCCTGCTGTCTACGTATAATGAATTCTATTACCATATAAAAAGAAACATCCGAATCGAATACTGATGAAGCTACTTGTATCAAACGGCAACCATACAGTATGGGCCAGCAAGTGACTCGAGATAAACTATGCTTCAACTCTATGTATCCCCTAAGATTCTAACCGGGAAACAAAGAGGGCCTTCTTCCTGCCATGATGCAATTTTAGACTCAAGATAATGCAAAGAATGAGCCTGAATATACACGTAATTGTGCGAGTGCAGTACAAGGGATTTCCACCATAATATTGCTCAGGAAAGGCATTTCACACCAAGTTAGCTTTACACAATTATTCAAACAAATAAAGACACTATTGCTCAAAGATATACTCCCTGTGTTCCAAATTATAAGACATTTTAGTTTTTCTAGATACGTTGCTTTTACTATGTATAGACATAGTGTATATGTAAGTGCATAATAAAAGCCATGTATCTAGAAAAGCCAAAACGTATTACAATTTGGAATAGAGGAAGTACAAACTTAATGAAGGCTCCATTCCCTGATATCCTCCACAAAGGACCACTTGTTCTTGGTCAAACAAATGTTCAGTGTAACAACCCTAATGATGTTGCATGTTACAGACGGGGAAAAATATTTCTCAACAAAATAACTACTCAATAGGACACACAACATTGCTACTTCAGAACATAACTAGATTAACCCATAGACATGCACCCAACAGTCAAGGAACAAAACTTACTCATCATGACCGTTGTCTGCACCACGGCGATCATTTCTATCATCGGGAGTATAGGATCTCCTCTTCTTATCCCTGTCATTTTCTTTAGGCTGTTTTGATGACCTCGGGTGCTCTTCCTTTGCCCGGGGTGGGGAAGCAGAGTAGTCATCACGCCTTTTCGGGGCAGGGGAGTATGACCTGTAGTGTATATAAAGGTAACATCATTTCGATGAAGGTTACTGCTCTGGTACATCATGGTTGGTCCATTACTTATTCAAAGAGACTCAAGACTCAGCAGACATACTGTGATCTACCACGGCCACGGCGGCGTGGTGAGCGGGAACGCGAGTATGAACGAGAACGAGACCGTCCTGCACGTAAGGAAAGATAGCAACTTGTCAGTGCTCAAACAACTTCCGAAACCATCAATTTTCAGCACCACATTTTGCTACCAGCAGATGCAACCTTCAAACAGGCAAATAAAGATCCAAGGACAGTGATACAACAGAATCGCATGAATGCCAATCACGAAACTTAAATGAACAAAACATCAATTTTTTATCCCCCCCTTTCCTGATAATCAAACAGCAACAGTTGAACATGAACAGAGTATTTTTTTTATAAGAAATTACAATGCATACACAAGCATTCATCCATGCATCTCAAATAATAGGACAAAACAAAGCAAAAAACTTAGATTACCATGGCGATAAGGACGACGCCCTTCATGACCAGAATAACCTCTACAGAGATACAACTTAAGTCATTTAAAATGAAACACAGATAGCGCTTCCAGAAAACCAATGCTTATTGGCATACCTTGGTCCAGGTCGTCTACGCATTTCCTCAGGCCTTTTCCGTGTATCCGCAGCAAGTACAACAGTTATTTCACGCCCAGCAAACATCTGACGGTTCATGTGGTACTGCGCCTCAGAAGCATCATAAGCATCAACAAACTCCACGAATCCAAACCCTCTTGGCTCCCTGAATGATCACAAAAGCCTTCATAAGTAAAATTCACAAAGTATGGTACTGGTAAACAAGGAAGAGGGCATATAACGATCGTAAATAGTATGTGCCTCACGAGTTACTACCAGGGATTCATATTATGGTGAATCATTTATAGTTCTCCATAGAGCACAGCTAACTTACAAACATGTTCATCAAATGGTAGCAAGCCTCAAAAAGTGGTTAGGAGCCCTTAGATCCAAAATTTCTTGTATACACCTTCATAAAGTGATTTGCTTCAAGTTCTTCGAGTTTGAAAAGTCATGAAAAGTGCTTGAGACCAACTTGTCTTCATTATATCTTCCCATGGAAGACACGGTAAAACCCTCTTCTCTTCAGGAAATTAACAAATCGAATCTTGTCTTGATAAAAGAACTTCATTCGCACAATACTCTATCTCACCAAACAAATGAACAATTAGGACTGTTCAGGGCTTGTATTTACTTCAACCACAAATACAGTCCTGAGAATAATTTCAAGAGAGTAATTCGTACCAGAAGAAAGCATCATCATATAATGTATATATATCCTATACACAGGAAATTAATTAGTGAAGTTCAACAGATGGTTGTATTACTAGTCTTGTTCCACATGTTTCACCTTAAGTTATCCTATGATGTTTTATATTATGCAGAAAGTGCATAAAAGAAAGAGAAAGGGAATGGTTGAGTTCTTTTTATGCAACTTTTGCTAAGCCACGACAATCAGTGCATTTTTGGAATGGAGCCTCATGTAGTATATATGTGTGAACCGTGAGCCCAAGCAAAGTTTTCAGTTGCATGCAAACATTTAGCAATCATAATTTCGACAGCATGGTCAAAACATAACATCCAAAAATGCTTGCTCCTAAGGACCCAGGCATTTTTGTAGAATCCCAAATGGTTGGACATGTTTATATATATCCAGACATGGAATGCACAAACGCACTTGTAGTGCAGTGGCGTGTGCTCCCTGTGGTTGAGCCAGCCGGCCAGGGTTCGATCCCTGGCCTTGCACCTTATTCAGGCGGGAGTCCCTCCCCATGGTGAGGTAAAAAAAAACATGGAACGCAAATGTAACGGCTAGAAATGGTATATCAAAAGGGAAACTCCAGCGAAGCGTTACAACCCAATCAAAGTCTTCAGTTTCATGCAGACACATGCTTTGCTCCTAAAAGGCAGTGGAAATTAAGTACCAAGCGTGTCTGAACCAAAACCACCAATGGTTGGACATGTTTATATATCCAATCATGCCATGCAAATATAACGGCTAGAAACGGATGTCAACGGACACAAGCATTTATTAGCCTAGTTGCTACATTAACACTTACCCAGTCTGATAGTCTCTTGGCAGGTAAACATCCCGAACAGGGCCGAACCGTTCAAAAGGGACACGGAGTTCCTCAGGCCTGCAAAGTTGGTTGTAAATGTGAGCAATTTTACCGCCAGCACGGCGAAACAATGGGGAAGGGTGCCCAAGTCAGAGTTTGCATACCTGCATCTCAATGGAATGTTGCGGACCAGGAGGCTGACAGAGCCATGGTCACCACGGCCACCGCCGTAGCCTCTCCTCGGAGGCGGGCTCCTTCCCCTGCCGCCGTATCCTCTCCTCGGGGGGCTGTACGCGGGGCTATACCTCCCCATTCCTCCCAGTACCTGCACATGGTAGTCCATTGCGGTGCTTAGCGGAGGCAGGAAAGCAAATCCAATACGGCGCGCATGTGCGCATCGCCGTGTGATCAAAGAAATCAAAGAATGGAAGCGCGCGTGCACACTTTAGGCTTTGGATTAGCTTTACACCTTACAGACAGGACCCGCGCCTTTGACCAGGAATCGAACCAATCCCCGCGCTCGTCATGCTAAACGGATAGATCTACGCGAACGCTCGAGAACTAGGACGGATTAATGGAAGCTAACATGAAGAACGGTGTTCGGATGCATTCGAATCAGGGAGCCCCTACCCTAGCTAAAGTTGCGATTTTTTATGTTCTTGTTCCTAAGCGTGCGTGAGTTCGTTCTCACTACGAAAACCGCGAGCGGCACTGTAAGAGAGGAGAGAGAGCGCGAGGGGGAGAGGAAGGGGGCTTACCGCTGGTGAGCCGGCGCCGCCGCCGCCGCTGCCTCAACCGGGGATGCGGAATTAGGGCAAGCGAGGAGAAGATGAGGAGACTCGTGTGGAGAATATACCAAGGGTGAAGGATTTTATGTGGGCCACCAAGACGGATTCTAATTTTCTTCATGGGCGTCTTGGGCCTTAGTTCCGCGTATGGGCCGCTATCACACTGGTTTTTCAGCCGCATACAAATCGAATAAATTCCAGATGGTCTACCCATTTGTCTCAAAAAATGCTCTACCATTATGCAAGATTAATATCACAGTAATTTAATGCGCTCAATATCAGTTGTAGTTACGGTCTTACCGTCAGTGCATCGGTTGTAGTTACGATCTTTACGGTCAGTGGCATAGTCATGAATTATAGGTAAAAGTTAGCAGGACTCCGACTTCTCAGCGGAGTTAAAACAGTTTTAGAAAATATTTGGCAAAAAAAAGTTTCAGTGGCAATTTTGTAATAATCCATGTCAAATTTGTGAGGAGTCAAGAGAAGACACCTTTTTGGCTCTGGCTCCTCCAAGCTTCTCGCAAGAAGGCGTTTTGTATATGGTCATTTGTTAGAGCTCCTTGCGAGCCGCAAGAAATCAGAGCTGAAACCATGTCAAAGGGGGTCTTACCATCTTAGAGAGCAGTACCCCATGCTAGCAGTGACTTCAAGTTTTGAAACCGAAGAATAGTAGCTTCATCAAGTAAATTGAATAGTTCTGAACCAACCACCAGCAATCTTATTGTATGATTTATACTTGATAAATTTCATACCTGAGAAAGCTCTTTAAACAATTGTCGTTGATACCAGCGCTAACAATGCCAATTTAATGAGCTTGTACACCAATGGAAAAACCTAATGTTTTAGTTTCAACCATTTTTTTGCCAAACTTGCAGTATCTTTGCAAGTAGAAAAGGTAGCATATGCCTCCTCACATGAAGAATATGTGTCTCAAGTTGTCCCCTTACGACTACACAATCATAATATGGGAAATCCTCATGATAGATTTCAATAGGCGAGCAAGATTGTTGACATTAAAACTAGAGAAAAAGACAATAGAAGCACATCAATAGCCTTGTCGTTGCTTCACTAAACTCTCTCCCCTAAAGCCTAGAGCTATATAGCAGCGGCTGACATGCCGCTCTAGGCCCTCATGATTGTTAGCGTTTGTGAGTGCAAATATAATATTAAGGATTCTATAAGCGTACAGATTAACATTGTAGCATTTCACCGGGAGTATTTCAGGTATAGTTATTTATATTTTACCACAGAGAAGAACGATGGCTTTTATAGGGGAGATGGAGTAGAGGGCAAGTCAGTGCCATGTCATCAATCTGCGTCACGACTTCACCTCGTCCCTTGATTTGAACCAACATGGAAGCACGGTGGAGATTGATCCTCAAAGGCGGTGGAGACTCCACGTCGAAGGGCAACCTGGCAGGTGGGACCCACAGGTCGGCCGACCTAGGGGTGGGGTCGGCTGACCCCCCTGTCAGCGCCTCACCCTGATCTTTGGCGGTATATCTTGAATTATGGTCCTGAGGCCCTTTTGAGTTGATTCCGTCGCGGATCATCAAAATTACTTGACATATTAAGGCCCAAATTGGCACGTAGAATAGCTAAATTCACCTGCATACAAATATTCACCAAGTCTTGTGAAATTTGTTAGTTTAAAGCCTCTAATCCTATCTTGATGTTTGGTTTTAAGAACAAAAGCAGGTAAAGTTGATGGTTTATTTTTGCTGTAGCGACAGTCAACAAGAACCCCCATGCTTACCCTTTGCCATTCTCTGAGCAAAGTTAAACTTAAAGAATAGATTAGGAGTTGCTATAATGCTCTCACTCTTCAAAAGTACACAAGCGTTCAATCAAAAATTCTCCTCCAGATTAAACAAACTTGATCTAACTTTCAAACTTACCCATATTACCTTCAACTTCATAGGGCATCTTAGCCTTCACTTGGGTCTTCGGCAGTTGAAAGACAGAACAATTAAGTCAAGCACTATGTCTCAAGTTCTTTTGCTCAACCATTATTCCAAAGGTTTTGTAAGTTTTCGAATAAAACTCGGAGATTCCTTTGTATGACACTCTTAAGTCTCTCTTTATATGGTATTTTTGGATCATCACCAAGGCATAGTATGCTGTTTTTTTCTTCCTATAACTAAAGCTTTTGTAGAGCTCATAGGTAGGGAGAAAGCATGAGCATACTTACAATGCATATATTGTAAAGTTAAACCTCGGATCCAAAGAGGAAAATATCATACAATCAAATCAAGATGTGCATGTGTGTGGATATTTGGTGGATATTTGAGGTGGCTAACCTAATTCTACTATGCTCCTTTAAACATATCTCTCTTTTATTGGGACTGGAAATATTTTTGTGAGAACATGGGCTATCTTTATTCACTTCTTTCTTTCTTTTTCTCTTTTTTCAATACTTTGGACATCTTTGTGTCCATTTTATCATACTTTTGCATAGCCTCATGTCTCTTTTTGTAACAAAACTTTTGAGAGAGATAACAATAAAAACTTAGAGCATTAATTTTCAGTGGAAACCTATCCAGCATATTTTTGTTTACTCCTAATGTAGGAGTAGAATATTTTTGGGTGGATCTAAATAGAAGGCATATTTTTGTGTTTACCCCCAGTGTAGGAGCAGTGCATATTTGGGTGGTGTGTATGTGATCATATTTTAAAAGCATGAGAAGTTCCTCATAAGGATCACAAAGCTTGACAAAACTCAACGCAAATATAAGCAGCATATATGGCTGTGGTAAGAATTTAAGCTTTTGTCATACAGGAACCAGGTCATCATGATCATTTTTCATTTTTTTCAAAGATAAATACTCCAAAAATTAGTTTCGCTTTGGAATAAAATAAACAGTAGCTCAGACCATCTCATATCATATCCGTCAACTACCTAGACTTTAAATCAAGCATATGCTACCCATAAGTTTTAAGTTCAGAGCAAGTCCTTATATCGAATCAAATTTATCCAAAACTCAGGAGAATTTCGAACTGAAAACTAGGTACTTGAAAGGAATTATAACATAACAACTATTCATCATGTCCATCAAAAGGTTATCGAAGAGAAATCAAAGCTCCTTTTATTTATCAATGACTCTTAAAACTTAAAGCAATTATCATACAAATCCTTTTTAATTTTATTTTATTAATACTAAGTATATTGAAACAAGCTAGTATACCTTTAATATGCCAGAAATGCCTTAGAAAGTAAAGTAAGGTAGAGAGATATTTACCTGGATAATGGAGGTGCATCTCCCCCAAGCTGGCTTTTGATATATTTGTTTTTACAAGTTTTTTTTAAAAAAAAATTGCCACCACAATGAACAAGCGTATGGGTTGTTATATACCACAAGGTTGTTCATATGGGGCTTAAAGATTTATTTAATGCAAAACTTGAATTAAGCTAAGACAAATTTATTATGCACAATCAAACTTTTTATTTTCTTTTCATATTTTTATATATGCTTATGCAGAAAAGATATTTATTATATATTATTATTTATATGCAGAAAAGTTTTTCAATGCAATGTAGAAAATAAACATGATAAAGTAACAAATTATGCATCTAAATTATTATATGCTTCCACAGAAAAGTAAAGATTAATGTTTATTTATTTATTTTTTTAGATGCAAGAATGAGTATGCTAAAATTAGAAGATGGTGCATTTGAGAAATTTAAATATGGATAACTACCGATTTATCTTTTGGTGAGGGTTCGTTGTTTTAAAGTCCTTTGAACCGGACTTCTCCTTGTATTTAATTCTTTTCAAGATCATGATCCAGCCCTGGAGATGAGGACTGAGATGGTTGCTCTTCCTTCTTGCGCCACACCATTTGTACTTGTTCTATCTCTGCTGGTTCTTGAGTTGGTGTTGACGAAGATTCAGACGGTGGTGTAGATGAAGATTCAAATTATGGTACCACCTTCTTCTGCCAAACTTGCTTTTGTTTTGGATTTGATTTCATATTGATAGATTCATCCTTTTTAACGTGTTCTTCCTCCTTGTCCTCTTTGATTTGTTCGATTTCCTTGACCTGTTCATCCTTCTTAGGCTGATTCTTCTTTTTGTGTTGTGTAGAACGAGGTCTTCTATTGGGATGATTCTTTTTAACCTATTGGTTAGTTTGATAACCACTGAAAACATATTTTACCTTCCATCTTGGAAATTGGAAATGAATTTGTCCCGATCTCACATAAATGATAGCATTTGTAGTGTTGAGAAACGGTCTTCCAAGGATGAGAGGAATTTCTTCATCGGGTCACTTGTCTAGAATTATGAAGTCGGCTGGAACATGAAAGAACCTAGGATGTCGCCTAGTGGGGGGGTGAATAGGCGTTTCTGAAAATTAACACCTTTAAAAGCGGAAATGATTAGTAATGGTAGTTTCCGAGTGGAAACTCCAACTCAGAGTAATGCAACCCCTCACAAGTTAGTCAACAAGTATATAAAAGATACTAAGTGAATCTAGGAGCCTAAAACCTGCAACACAAAAATTAGTGCAATGAATAGATAAAAACAGTGCAGGGGCCAATATCGAACACGTCCGG